GCTTGCCAAAATTGTGTTCTGAATTATCTAATGGGAATTTTTGCAACTTTAAAATAAAGTCAAAAAATCTTATAAGTTTCGTGATGCCTGGTGTCTAATACTACCCGAATTCAGCTCTTGTGCACCTTCAACGTCGCAGACTTGCGCCAACTAAGGCAGCAACCTCTATCTTCTAATTTGCTATAATTAAACCTAGTATACCATTATGAAATTTATGCATTCGTTTTTACCTTTTCAAGGTCATTTTCGTTCGCCCACAATAGCACCAGCATAAGCACAGGGCATTCAAAAGTCATGAATTGGTTTTGCAGCAGGCTACAACATGCCGATCGATGTTGAGGGCGTTTGAAAGTGGCCAGAGTCTGCACGTCAGAATTAACTGACTGAAGATGGCATGCGCTACTCTGATGAACCAGACAAGCCGAGGGTCAGAGAAGGTGAGACGGTTGTTTGGGCGGTTGGCAAATGGGGAGAAAAAAGAGCGGTGGCGTCGGCGACGGCATCCAGTGGTAAGTGCTGCTGCATCCTTTCTTTATCTTCTCAATTCTATGTGCACATTTGATTGCAATTTTGTGCTTAGTCAAAATTTTGTCTTGGGTGGCACTGCAGTAGCCTCTTTTTCTCTCTCACTGCATACTTTAATAAAAGATCAACGGTAGGATTAAAATCACGTGCGATAGGAACGCATAGACGCTTGTCCTGGTTTTCTGAAACATGTGAGAAGGGCCACTTGATAGTTTGGCCATCGATGTCGATGAAGTCCGCCGGAACGGTGAGGCGAGATTTTAGTGAATGAGGCGCGCGACTGTCTACATCACTCTAAACACTTACCCGTTTGAACCGGTGACAAGGCAAAAGTTAAGATGACCGAACGGACTCAGATGTAAGCCGCTTTCCGCAATGCAGGCCAGAGCACCGCCTAACTTAGTCTTACGTTGGTTTTATGCGTTGGTACTACCACACTATTTATCCTCATTCATCATCAGTAGGTGTCAAGCCAGGAAACCAAGGCTGGTACTGTTACTACTGCTATTTCTGCTACTACTAACTAGGAATTTAGTTGAGTGACATATCTCTCAGGACTACCATAGTAGTGCTGGTACTTTTTCTGGCTGTGACGCTGGTTAAAGTCAGCACTGGGCTCATAAATCCGTAATCTCAACAAGCAATGTGAACCTCGGATTATGCTATCCCCAGTAATTGCATGTTTGAAACCCGGAGCAGAACAGGGCTTCCCTTGGTTTCCGCCAACTCACCTCTATCAACCAGACTGGGCTATTTTCTATTAGGTTTGAACTATGAAGACTAGGATACTGCTGACTTTCAGTTGGTATACAGGAGATGATTTTGGGCAATACTCCTAGCTATTTGATCTTAGCTGTGACTGTATCCATTGTACGGAGCCACTAGGATGGCATTCACGAATGTTGGCGTGGGAATATAGGCGATTTTTTTATCAAATTATTTATGACCTTTGAGATATCGCCACATCAATATAGACTAAGGTGGACGCTATATAGATAAATTGTTCGATTCGGTTTTTAAATCAAGATAATCCCTTGGGCGGCACTGCACTAGCACACTCTTTCTTACAACGTTTCCTTTCATTTAAATGCAACAATAGGATTGAGGTCACGTTGAGTACGAACCTGATTCATAAGCATCAAACCTATAAGAGGGGCTCTTTACTGGCATGGCATTCCGTGGGCAAGGGGTCTTCTCCGACAATACCCCTTCCTTCTGAAAAAGCTATATGCTCCTAGCCTTACATGCAATTTAAGAACCGTGAGTGTGAGGATTGCTTAGAGTCACTAGGACTACGTTGACGTATTTTGTTGTCCTAGTTTTCCTACCCAGCTGCAAATTAGTTGAAGTCTTCGGAAGCAAGTCACACCGTGGAAAAAGATTTTGAATCGATCTGCCTTGCATCACCCTCAACTCTTCCTCATTTACAGATTGTTTGCAGTCGGATCCCTTGGGGTCAGTGTTCGGGTCGCGTTTACCACAACAGGCAGAGTCACCCGATTACCCGGTGAGTAGTCTTCAAGACCGGTAGTGTTGGCCTGTTGTGAGATCTTGCTCTTAATGAATTGTTTAGTCCCTGTCGCAATACTTTTACCGGTCTTTTTGACTAGGAGATTCCTCTGCTCTTGACGGAGATGGTACAGGCTCTACGCGCACGCGGTATGGGCCTTGAGGGTATCTGTCGTGTCCCAGGACGGGCCTCCAGGGTCCGAGAAATCATACAGCTGGCCAATTCAGTAAGCCACGTCACTAATCACATATACATGCAGTTCAGTCCACGTACAAAAGATAAGTTTAAGCACACTCGTCTTCGAAAACATACCAATAGGCATATATTTCTACACTTTCAGAATGTCAGTCAGCTGTGTTCTCGTCTGGATTCAGACGAGGAGGCCTTTCATGGTCGAGAAATCTCGTCGGCAATCAAGCGCTATCTGGGTCTTTTGCCCGCAAGCCTACTGCATGCTGACGCCTTCGCCTCGGTCATGGTGGCTAAGGATCTTGGTCGGTGTCTGCGGACGCCAGCTGGTCTGGCTCGGACCTTAGGTCGATTGCAAGCAGGCCTTGCATCTTCCTTTTACCCGTCCGGTTGCAAGGAGGCTG